AGGGGACAATTAAGGAGCAGGGTATTTGTTTTATTGTTTTACTGTTTTTACTGTTTTATGGTTGTTTTATTTATTGGTTTTACTGTTGTTGTGAGCCACCCAAAGTTGCTTAAGATGGGCGGCCATATAAATCTTTTAAATAAATAAAACCACATATGTTTTCTGGCACTCACTCTTTACGTAAGAAAGCAGCAAAATGCATCCAGAATGATAGCCTCAAAAGTCCTAGGATAAATTCTACAACAAAGAAAATCATATTCTGTACTTAAGGAATTGGGTAAATTGTGCAAACAGAGAATATTTACATACTCTTTGATTTTATGTAATTCATTCTATCTGAACTAATTTGAGGATAGGCAAAAATTCTGGTGCTATATCTTTCCACCTCACAGAAAATCTTTCTCAGCAACCTTTGGGTTTCTGAAATTTTAGCAGACAGGCACTGCTAAGACTCTTTCTAGCAAATCTTCACAGTCCTGAGGGTATGTGAAAATACTGGACTTCAAAACACTTTTTTTTTAAAAAAAGAATCCCATACCCTTCATACATTTTTTGCAGACCTGAAGAATGTCAGCAGACAAACAATTCCGAACATGATCTTTTCCTCTTCAGTAGTGAAACCCTGTTAAGTGACATAGAAGGTCACACACTGCTAGTGTTAGACATGCTTCCTCTCAACTAATTAGAACTCCAGAGAAAAGTTGCAGGGAAGAATCAGAATTGCCACTTAGTCAGTCACCGGGGCTTCATTGGACAGAGCTGGATTCCACAAATGCAGACGTAATAAGGCTTCCCAAATGAATCACCTTGAACCAAATACATCAACTGAATCCTGGCAGTTTCTCTGCTGAGTCAGCCAGGTCACGTAAGGAGGTGCCACCTCACAAAAATCACTGGCTCTCAGTCAAATCCTAACACAGCATGGCTGCCATACTATTACCTGATTTCACTTTCTATGGCTAACCATCAATAAAGATGCATTATAGACATCCTGTCCCTCCACATCCTTTTCCACAGCTAAGCAACAAATGCCCACTTAGCTGACAGTTCCTTAAGAAACAAAAATGAAGTACCACCAACCTGATACTTTCTTTCACATGTTTGATTTGACTAGCCCAGTGTTTCTCAATTTTATCAACTTTAAGATGTGTGGAATTCTGGGAGTTGAAGTCCACACATCTTAAAGTTGCTGAGGTTGAGAAACATTGGGCTAGCCAATGCAACCTTCCTGAAGATTATGGCAGTTGATTCCAATATATCTGGTGGGCACTAGATTATAAATGAATAAGGAAGACTGTCAATATAAGCGTGCAATCCAAACACTTTTGGAGTATTGTGTTGCATAAAATATAGCCAAATTCTTCATGTTCAGGAACTACTGCCTTTATTTACCTCTTGCACTTCCATCCCATCTTTTTTTCCCTGATATTCAAGATCAGAAATGGATCACAAAGCCCCCCCTGGAGGGATATTACCTGCAGCCCATCAAACCTTGGTTATGGTCCTCAACCCCTCCAAAATTTGCTGCCAAAAAGTAATGTTTAATGTAACAAAAGGAGGAAAATATTAAATATATGGGGGCTGATATTAACAGGAGGTTTGTTCATGTAAGGCACTGTTATTCAAATTAAACCAACTTTGATTTTTGCTATGGCCATGTTGGCTGTGAATGCTGGAAATTACAGATTCAATGCATCTGAAGGGTGCCAAGTTGGAGAAGCTCTCCTGAAAGGTTTATGCATTTCTTTTTAAGTGTTTTTGAATGATGCACTGAAGATAACAATATGGTACAATTTATAAAAATATACATGATAACTAATTGCTTCTATGAGTAATACTGACTATGGCAATTCTCAGAAAGAGGTACTACCTCTCTCATGTACATAATCTTGAAAAACAATTGTGGATACAGGCAGAATTGTTGTTATTTTCAATCAAACCTTGCCTAACATTGGTAGAGTTGCTGGAAGCTACATGGCAAAGAGAAGGACATACATCTATCTTCCAGTCCTAAAAATAATGTCCAGGCCACCAGAATGTTCTCTGGCAACTAACCTATTTTCTTTTATAAACTTGGAGTAGCAATTTTTTTTTCACTTTAGAGGCACATACACACCAGAGTATTCTCCTCCCCGAGGATCCAGTAAGCGTTCACTTGAAAGCAACCCACACCACAGAATTCTCCTGCTTTCCTAGCCCTGACTATCCCCAACCCTATTTCAGTAGCCAACCTGGAGAAGAGATGCCTATGGCTTCAATGGGCACCATGCTTGCTACGTGACTAAGGAAGTTCAGAAGACTACAAAATCACCTTTTGAAGTCAGAATGTCATGATTTTATGAACAACCAAAAACAAGGAGAAGGAAGGGGGATAAGGTCAGGAATTTGACCTAATAAAACAAATTAAGCAGACAACAATGGTGAACAAGTCCAGGCTTGGTAGCTAAGGCCACCAACAAAATGTTTCTGATTGGGGCTTCATTTAATGAGAGGGGGATTATTCTTTTTAGTTGTCTTAAGCATTTTTTAAAAAATGTCCAAGACAGCTTAGGAAGATTAATAACAACTATTCATTCACCCTTATTATCTAGAAGCCTCAAAACAAAACAAAAAAAGAAAAAGAAAAAGAAAGAAATGGGGGGGGGTTAGGCATGCAAACTGTACTACAGGTCACATCATGGTCTAACTAGGACCTAGGATGTCTTTGACAATAAAGACAAAGAAGTGTGTGGCAAGTTTAGCAATTGCTAGGACTCCCAATTTTCTATGGGTTGCAGCTATTACCCCTACCATCAAAAGTTACACCTTATAGCTACAGTGGGAAACCAATGACCTTCCAGTTATTTCAGAATTACAACTCCCAGTAACCCCAGATAGCAAAATTAGTTGGAAGATTAGTTCAACCACATCTGTAGGGTCAATGATCTCCTCGGTCTTGCATCATAACACTCTCAGAAACCACACAGATCTCAGCAGCCTGCTTTCCTAATCACAGCTTCCCTTTTTCACACATATAGAACAGCAGGAGATGTCATTCAATCTATGCTTCTGTTTTGCTGGCATAGAAACACAGCAACAAACCAGCCAGCTCACTTGCTTCTGATGCTGGCCACAGAAGAATAAATGTCCCTTCTTCCATGGCCTGCACAGACTGCTCCTTTCATTCTCTGCCAGCCTATCTGGTAGAAGGCTAAATGTTTATTTGGCAAGCAGGAGATCCCCCTTCATCTATGGGCAGCATGGCCACAGGGACTACCAACATCTTAACAGTTCAATAAAACTGATAGGCAAATAACTTCTACAGGGTTATTTACACATTATTCTGTTGAGGGTTATAGCTAGGAATGTGTAATTCAGAGAAACATGTTCGGGGACCAAAAAGGACATTCAAGTTGCAGTGCCTTCAATCACACAGGATTGTAAAGACATGCTTGCCTCCAGATTCTGCATCAGGCACAGCCATGCATGAAGATGCCAGAAACTCCCCAGCACTGGCATGGTGTTTTTCCCCCACCCACAAATGAGAGCTGCTGTTCCCAGGTTCACTTCAGGACAGATGTCTGCAGGTGAGTAATCTGCTCATGTGACAAGCTCTGAAATGCCCCAACATTCAACTTTGTTGAGGGAGAGCTTTCCAATAGGATTACAGAGCAGGGTTAAAAAGAAATGAGCCTCTTTGATCTACAGGAGAATGAAGGCTCCCAAGAGCATTAAAACCTCCCAAGGACAATGTGGCTATTTAGCAGCCTGCAAGGAAACTGAAATAAGGGTTTTTTGTTTTGTTTTTTGCTTTTGCACACTTGTTTCTCCTGAACTGCTCAAGGTGCCAGAGTTGCACCATGCATGCTGCATTCTAACCGTCCAAAGCTTAAGTTCTATGTTGGCTCACTTGAATGAGAACTTTACTGAACTCCAAACAAGTGTGCACAGAGTTGACCAGACTAATTAATACGCAAAGCAGCCTGCTAAATGTCAATTTCTTTGTTTTATCAGGAATCTATCTAACTCTTCTTCAGATTATACTGATAAACTGGAACCTAATAATTAATCTCTTCCTTAAAGTCTGTTCACTTTGATTTGCCTACACTTTTCATGACAGCAGGCTTATTTTCTAGTATTCAAATAATGCCCATGACTCTTCTGCCCATCTTTTTTGGACTCTCTTCAAATATATCTCCAACCATCTACATAATTCTTGCAGGCACACAGAAGGGGATGGAAGTAACCTTTTACAAACAAAAGAGTGCCTGCATTCTCCAGTACTGTATGTGCAACTTTTTCTATCCCTGGCTCGTATTCCCTAGTTTTTGTCTGGATCACTTCAGCTTTTTCCTTCGTTTGTGCCCTTTTTACATTTTCCTCCCTCTTAATTGCATTTTATAATGTTACTTAAAGGAAAATGAAATTATGAATATATACAATGCATACAAAGTAAGTTTGATTAACAGTGAAAATTAACAATCATCTTGGCTTTTAAACCCATGGTGGCAGCTTTCCACAAAGCAAGGGGGCAGTTTCCTCCCATTTTCAGAGGAAATGGCAGTTAGCAATCTCAAATAATTTGTAAGCTTGTGTCTGAAAGCTAATTCGCTTCTGAGCTGTTATTCATTTATTAGATTTTGTTTTATATTGAGCAAAAATCTTAATTAGATATAAGACAGTAATATGGACCGTTCACACAATATGTTCTGCGTACTTTTAAGAGTATGACTTCATTCTCTCATTTTAAAAAATGCACTGATTCCAATCTTTTCCTCTTTTCACTGTATCTGTGTGCATATATCTAGTTACTATTAATTATGCTTCTTAGATCAATTGCTGTCCTACTAATAGCAAGAATTACTTTTACTCACTATTCTTTTCTTAACGCAACCTAGATCATGAAAGCCCTTTTGCTGCAATGTCACAACAGTAGCTTATAGTCAGAGTCTTTTTAACACCAAGGATTTCCAGAATTTTGCTTCCGAATTAGCTGGCATTTATCCAACTGTACAACTTACCTCTGCAATGAGGGCCTTCATCTGAACCATCTACACAATCACGTTCGCCATTGCAAAGCTTGGTCATGGGGATGCAAAGGTCAGTGCCCAGGCAGTTGTGCTCATTTGGATGGCACCTCGACACCTTGTTCTGCGGACCTGGAAAATAGGAAGAACCACTGCCATTATGAGTATCTCCAAGGGTCCCAGCAGAATTATCTTAATTTATATATATCAAATTTGTCACCGCCCATCTCATTGAAATGACTCTAATTAATCTATAGGAAATCCTAGAACAAGGAATGGAACCTCGTGTGTATGGATGATGTTTAGACACAGAAGAAGCTATAGACTCTTTTACGGCATGTTCTTTTATATCTAGAAAGGACAGTGCATAAACTCATATTAGCTAAGGAAATGAACAGAAGAATCCAACAGGCATAAGGCTAGTCTTGGATCCAAGAGACCTTGATGAAATGCATGCTCAACTGGCTTCAGTAAATAGCCAGTTTCTTTGGTTCTGTTCCTGGTAATGTTGGTTTAAAGCATACATTTGGGTCCTCTTTTTCTGCTTTAAAATGAATCTGAATTCATCTAGGGAATGTTTGAGTAATTTGGACTACAAAGGAGTTAGATTGAAACCATGATGACTATTATGGTAGCTGCAGTCCAAAATCCCTGGAGAGCACAAAGCTACCTATTGCTGACCCAGATCCTTTTTCCACAAGGCTATGAAACCTCAGAGTGTATTTCCAAGGGAAGCACACTGAGCAAATCAGTTTGGGTAACACTGTATTAAGTCAGATTCCATTATAGCTCAGGATAGGGGCCACAGTGGGTACCGATCTATCCATCAAAGTGGTTTGCTATGTAGAATAGTCGTTCCATCAGCCACTTAATCATTACTGGCATGAAGAACCTTAACAAACTACTTTTCCTCTTTTAAAAGCTAATAAATGAGCTAATTTATTTCATCTGACAAGTTTGTGGTACACCCCAAAGGGCTGCATTAGACAGGAATTGTTAACATTAGAAAACCACTTTAAAAGTTGCTGTTCTTTTGCCCATAAATATATGCCCTCTAATTGAGTTGGCTACAATCCAGAAATAAATACAATTGAAAAGGGTAGAACTGAGAAGAAGGTCTGAATTGAGAGTCTACTGATATTTTAGGGGTAAAAACAACAGAAGATTCCAAAATCTTTTTTTTTCCAAAAAAAAGCATTCAACCACATTAATTTTAAGTTGATATCACAGAATGTTTCTGCTTAAAAAAAATCAGGACTGCTACTATTACACAATTATTATTAATATTAAACGGTGGTTATTGTTATTACCGCTAGTGATTCTCTAATTGTGGGTATCACCAGTGGAAATCAGGATTACAAGCAACTTACAATAACTCTGCACAGTTCAAACCTCCTAACATAGGCCATTCTATACAACTAATACTTATAATTCTTTTGATGCCCACCAGCATCAATAAAGGCCACATTAATTCTGAATTAAAATAAATGTTGCTTAGCACCTTCTTTTTCCCTCTGATAGGGCAAATAACTACTTCTGCTCTAACTTTGCAACCTTTGCAACCAAATACCCTACCTGACTCTCATTCTGCTATTTTTGTACAAGCCAGAACATTTCAAATTGAAAACATACCATGATTTTAAAAAATGTTACAAGTGCAACATAGTACATATTAAACCACATGTTAAACTCGTATCTTTAGCATGCAGCTTTGTAATTTGGGGAAAGTGTTGGGGATAGCAAACTAAGTCTAGTTCAGACCACTGTGCACAGCCTTAAGGAGACAGGTTAAATCTTCATTCTCCAGACACTTTAGTTTGATAATATACTCCTCTGCCTGCAAAAAGAAAGAGAATCTACATTACTGCCCCCCCAAAATCTCTTTTTAAATCTTGTACTGGATAGGGAAATTCCCATTGCTAAGTATCTCAAGACAAAGAGTTTAACCTCACCCAACCCTGTTCAGTAATGCTAACCCATCATCCTTAATGGAAGGGCTACTCTAGAATGGGCAGAGATAGGTAAATCAGTCTCTTCCAGATATCTAATTTTAGTTCTCATAAATCCTAGCCACTAGAGCCAATAATCAGGGATGGCAAGAGTTGTAGTCCAAAACATCTGGAAGACACCACATTGCCTGTCACAACCCTAACTGCTCCAGCTATTTTCTTTCCAGATGTGTCAAATTGTGTCAGTGCCTTTTATCAAGGGCTTTTGTCTGGCCCAGGGCAATCAAATGCATAATGCAAGTCTTGTAAATCCAATTGGAATTTTGAGTCCCTTATTTGCTGATAATTTGGAAAAATTCAGAATCCCATAGTAGTTTATATATCAGAAGACCTGTCCAAATAATCCTGCTTTCCTTCTCATCCTCAGCTGCAGCCTTTTCAAATGGCTGCCTTTAGATGACACTGAAGCTACTTGATCTATTGTTGATCTATGGCTGATGCCTGCTTTAATAAATATTTATGCTTTGGCTAGAAAGCTCAGAGGAAAGCCTCTGCAGGTATTGCTCCAAATTTGTCAGCTGTCCAAAACCTTAATTAATGTCTACATTTAAATTAATAGATGCTTTCTAAAATCTGTGGCAACAATCCAGAAGAAGCTAAATTAGCAATGATGATTTCATCCCAACCAGGGGCTCCATTGTTTGGAATATGCTTGAGATTTCCTGGTGTTTGCATGCAAATGTTTGTCAGCTTGACTCTGTAAATCTAACCAACATGGATATTAGCAGTGACACCTCCAGCTTTCCTCTCCTGTTTCCTTTATCTCCAAATCCTGTCTGGGGCAGCCCTTGCTTGTCACCACAAACATAGGACTGAGAAGTTCTCCATCTTCTGGGGCTGTTTAGCCAGTTCTTTCTCACGCCACTATGGCACCGCACTGACGCACCCTTATCTTTCTAGGGTTAGAGGACTTTCTCTTGAAATTCCCCCCCCCCAATGAATTTCCAGTGCTGAGAATAACAGCTCACTTTCTAATATCAATATTAGTAATATCAATGATGCTTGCATATGGGGTAAGCCTCATAAGTCAGAGTCTCTCTTTTTTCCTTTTTGGCATGCTTCACATCAATACTTCTGTGCTGACTGAAAAGTGCATTCAGTTATTGTTTTTTGAATGTTTGGTTTTACTTAGCTTATTAATGTCATGTGCTCCTGACCCCAGCTCTCTAAACCATGCTGATTTAGAATGCTAGGAATTATAATCCAACACATTTAGACAGCACCAAAATGGGAAAAACTGTCTCACACATATATGTGAGCTATAATAAGCCAAGAATCCTGCTAAGTATAATATACAATCTACATTTTTTTTCAAGAAAACTAAATTGCAGTTAGCAAGTCAACTAAATTGCCTTAAAATCTTATTTTGTCCATAGATCAAATTTTGGTGAAATGCAGGGAAAATGGAATATAATAATTTTAAGAGTTATGAACGTCAACATGGCACCTATTCTTCTCTAATAAGCAGCATATTTTGCAGTATTTTACCTGTCCACAGAAGTAAAGCTTTTTTTCTTGTTACCTTCTGTTTACAAAAGCATTTCATATTTGACAAAGTGCAATTATTATTGCAGCCACCTCCTGGTAAGTGCTCCAGTAAGCAATCTATCCACATAGAGTTTGTTTTTCAAATTTATATATGCCACCCATCTCACTATAGAAGTGACTCTAGGCAGCATTACAGATTTAAAAAAACTATAAAACCATAAAAATATATGTTAAAAACGACAAAAGGTTAAAATTAAGCTAAAAAGATAAAACTACAATGCAAACTAAAAAATGGAGACAGCATCTTCAGGCTACCAGCCACCCCCAGTGCTGCAAACCCCACTGGGTCCCCATGCAAGGTGGCAGAGCCAGGTCTTATCGCCCTTTCAGAAGGCAGCGGGGGCGGGGAATCTCTGAGTTGTATAGCATTTGCTACTGAAACTCTGAGTTGTATAGCATTTGCTACTGAAACTCGTAAGACAATTGCATTTGCTAATTTTGCAATCAGCCAATAGTAAAAATGCAGTTGTTGTAGCTAGTTTGATTTTCCACAAGTTCTTCCAGTAGACATCAAATTACAGTATGGAAAAACTAAAAAGAAAAAAACCTGAACATTTGAATCTGAATTGACTCAATTCTCAAATTTAGAGGCAAACTGAGATCAACTGGAATTTGTCATTGTCTTGCTACAATAACAGTATCTCATTCCAGAGGCACATCTATACAAAAAAACACTTAACTTCTGGCCTCTGTCAGATATTTCACAATGATTGCCCATTTCAAAATACTGCCCTGGAGAAATTTGGCAGATATCCCAGAAGCCAAATCTGCTTTCTTGTTATAATTAGGAATTAATTGCACTGAGCCAAAGGATGAGGAACATGTTTGATCCCGTTTTTCTTGCAGCTAAAAATATGAGAAGAGCCCAGTTGGATCAATCCAAAAGCCCATCTAGCCCAAGATCCTGCTTCTCACAGGAGCCACTAGATGATTCTTGGGAAGCTCCACAAGCAGAGCATGAAGGCAACAGCACCTTCCTGTTCCTTTTCTCCAGATGTAACATCAAGACCCTATTCCTCTGAACCTGAAAATCACAAATACCATCATGACTCAGCCACTGATATCTTTCTCTACTATGGATATGCATCATCTCCTTTTAAGGCTAAGTTAGTGGTCAGCCCTTCAAATCTTGCTGGAACAAATTCCATAGATTAGCTATCTACAATGGAAAGTAGTGCTCAATTTCATCTGCCCCAAATGTCTCTCCGTTCAGTTTCACTGGATAATCTTGGGGTATAAAATTATAAAGTAGCAATAACCTTTCTTCCTATCAAATTTCTGTATAATATGCATCATTTTATACATACCTTGTATCTTCCTCTTTCCTTTTTTCTAATGCTAAAAAGCTTGACATGCCATTCTTCATGGGGAATTACTCCAGCCCCTAAATCATTTTAGTTCTTTTTTCTTTCCCAAGTAGCAATTAGTACTATTCATAACATTCCAAATGTGGTCCTATCACACATTGTATAAAGGCAGTTTTATTTTTAATTTCTTTCCTAATTATTCTAACATGGATTTTTCTTCAGTAACACTTTTCTCTTATATCCCCGATAATTTTTAATGGTGCTTTCTACTAGTTATAAAAAGTTACTGGGCACAGCCATTAAACTATCCACCCTATAGTTACTTGGACAGTCACTAGAACTTTCTGAGAAATGATCTAATGATTTATTTGTAATTTTACAAAACAGTTTGGAATTTTGTTTCTTGGCGGTACTTTTTACATCAAAGTCCTTTTTTAAAATATACAAATATACCACATCTTCTGTGACAGATATAAAGAAGCCATTCAGCATCTCTTCAATCTCATTGGATATTTTTAATTTCAATAGTCCTCCACAGTCAACCCTCTTATGTAATAGTTTCTCGTTTCAGACAGAGAGACAGACAGACAGACAGACAGACAGACAGAGTCTTAGCATTTTTTGTATTTCCCCCCATTTTTTCTAATTTATTCAGTTTATAAAAATAACCATAATGACCAAAAATACATCTCAATGACAGTATCATTTAAAAACACATCCATTAAAACATATTAAACCAGCCTAAACATCAATCAGAAAAGCCTTCCAAGAAAGCTTGAAAAAGCTTCCTTTCCTGTTCCATCTGAAGGCAAATACAGAGGAAAAGCTTTCCAAAAAAAAGAGTTCATAAGAAAAAAATACATACAATTGTCTTGTATCTGACAATTTCACCTGGGGACACACCACCAAACTTAACTTGAATTTTTGTTGTTGAAAAATATCTCTATTTTTTTCTGCTTGGAAGATCCCTCTATGACTTCATCCCTAGGTCTCACCCCAACTTTGTCCCTAGGTCTCACCCCAACCTACCTCAGAAGTTTGTTGTGGGGAAAAACTGAGGAGTGATATGTCCACTATCTTGAGATCTTGGATAAAAGGTGGGATATAAATCTTAATGAATTAATTAACATTCCCAAGGCTCAAACAGAGTGGGGGGGACCAGTGGGTTTAAATTCCTTTGTCATATCCTTGGTTTAATTATGAGGATTATAACTTAGGTAGCAGGGAACTACCTGATGTAGCAATATGGAGATGCAGCATCTCCTCCTATTATTTTCAACTATCCTGAATTTCCCACTATCTACTGAATGCCTGCTGGCTATTCTAAAGAGCTCCCACTGGCATTTCTCACAAATCAAAACAATGTTAAGACTCTTTCTCTGACAAACCATCTTTAGCATTTACAAAGAAGTCCAGATTTCCTTTTAACATTTCCTAGTAAAGCAGGGGAGGCATTTTGACCATCCCTGCCATTCCTATTATTGGAAAACAAATATGGCTTAATGGCTGAACACACATTTTACAGGCAGATAGCCCAAAGTTCAGTCTCCAGCAACTCCAGCTAAAAGAATTAATACTAGATGTGATGGAAAGTTCTGGGCTGGAGAAATGTTCTACTGAGCAGATGTAATTAGGCAATTTTTAAAGACCATTCAATTAGGAACACTATCTTCCTAGGAGGCCAGTGGTTTCTAAAGGAGGAAGCAAAAGAAGGAGAAGAGGAAAGGAAACCCATCAGAAAAGTGAAGTAGGGGCAAAGGATTTCTCAGCCAATTTTGCATAAAACCCCATCCGGAACAGTTGCCCACAAATAGAAAGTACATAGAAACGTGAGTAATAAATGGCATTTTTCCAAAAGTGGAGAATCCTCACAAAACCTCTTTGTCTCCTGGATGTTTTTAAACATTCACAAAGCTGTGAGAAGCATGCCATGAATTTTGGATCACTCAAAGAAAGTAACTGGATCCAGGTCACCAATGCAAAATAGCTATAAAAACAATTAATAGGGAAGGAAGAGGAAGCAAAGATACATACATATATCTGGTGATTCATCAGAGCCATCTGGACAATCCTTCTCTCCATCACATCTCCAGCCCTTCGATATACACGTGATCTGATCTTTACATGCAAACTGTTTGGGGCTACATGTCTTCGGTGCTGGATAAAGAAAGACCAGAAAAAAGGAAAGCATAAGAAGTTAGTTTCTTCTGTAAAGCATGTTATTGACAATAATTTCAAAGGCTGGCTACTTAAAAAGCAACTGATTCTGACAGTGCCATTGGGCTCATGCATATTCATGATAGTTCAGGAAAGAATATTCTTAAAATGAAAGGTATTCATCAGAGCAGAGCAGGAGTAAAAATTCAGAACAGATTTTAAACATTGTTTAATTTGAATAAATCTCTCAGGAACCCACAATTTACACATGAAAGGCTTAAACACAAACCAGGAACCAGAGTTTTAAATTATGTAGTGTTTGCACTGGAAAAGCTGTAAGAATCTCAAATCTGACTTTTACAAAAACTATGGCAATTCCTCCAGATTTACCTAAGTTTATATAACCAGCATCTCAACAACTTACAGGGGCAGGGGATCCTGATAAAATTACACCTTAAGAAGGTAGACTGCGTGAGGGAAAGCCCACATTTCAAATCTGATTTCAATAGCCTTAAGGTCAGCCATTATTCACTTTAGCTCAGCCACAGGTTGGTCATCTGGGTCTACCTCACAAAATTATTGTAATGATTACTAAAATAATGAATCAGAAGCACACTGAATGCTTCATTCAGCAAAAACCCCTCTCACGCATAAGTCAAGTCCGTAGCCTTTGCTATTATAATCCGGGCAGGTGAATAAGGAGTTAACGCATGGCATGTCCCAAAAGAACATGAACCAACCCTATCCATTAAGCAACTGCAAGCACAGGTAACCACTTGGTCAACTTGCAACTTTCTGCCTTATTGTATATACCATTCTTCTAGCACGGCCCTCCCCAATCTGTCACCACTCAGCACATCCAGAAGGCACCAGGTTGGAGAAGACAAGTCTAGCTTATCTACAGGATCACTACTGTACTCTGATCAGAATCAATCTCTCCAGTACAATCATCCCAGAAGAAACTGTGGGCTGTTCCCCATTTCTGTGAAGTGAAGTGGGACAAAGCCAGGAGGCAGCGCTTTTCAGTTATACCCCCAGTCTAATAGAAAGGCCTCCTCTCAGAAGTCAGATTCACCCATTCTGGAATACGGTAAAGGCTAAATTCTTCCAAAGAGCATTTATGCCACCCCTTTGAGGTAGCCAGGTCAGGAAACAGACCTCACAAGAAATACTAGAGCTCTACCTTATTAATATAGTCTATAACAACAAAATCCTGAAAGCCTGATAACATCTCCCTTTCTCTCCCTCTTATACCTGACAATCAAAGCTGGGCAATCTTGAGTTTCTTTCTCACACTTTCCTATTTTTCCAGGTTAAGCTCATGTTTTACTAATAGTCTTCATATATTTTCTCCAAGGTCATCACTGCACTCCTCTACACTTGGTAGTTAATTACTTCACTACTGGTTACTACCATCATATTACTGTTCCTTGCTGGGCTGGCTGATGATAGCCCTGCCACTTCTATTACTATTACTGCTTAAGATAATAATTTATTTTAAAGTAGTTTGCTTTATTATCATGGATATATGTTAATATACTACCATGAATGTTTTCATTGTTTGGTCTTACTATAAATCATTCTGGCAGATTCAGCAGTATACAAATATACTGCTCTTTAGATCCGTGCCCCTCCTGGCTTGTGAAAGCAGCCCGGGGAGTGTCATGCGAGTGGGTTCTAGCGATGGTAATGCATCTTTGAGTGAGGGGGTTGTTCCCTCACTTCTTAAGGCGGCCTTGGTTCACCCCCTCCTCAAGAGGCCATCACTAGACCCCACTATACTGGACAATTTTCGTCTAGTATCTAACCTCTCCTTTTCGGGGAAGATGATTGAAAAGGTGGTTGCACAACAGTTACAGAGGACCCTGGATGAAGCGGATTATCTGGATCCCTTTCAGTCAGGATTCAGGGATGGATATGGGATGGAAACAGCATTGGTTGCGCTTTTGGATGATCTCTGGCGAGGGCGGGAGGGGGGTTGTACATCCATCCTTGCCCTACTTGACTTCTCAGCAGGTTTCAATACCATCGACCATGGTATCCTTCTGGATCGGCTCAGAGGATTGGGGATGGCGGCACTGTGTTGTGCTGGTTCACCTCCTTCCTCCAGGGCCGATTCCAGTTGGTGGTGGGTGGGGAGGAGAGATCCTGCCCTTGGCCCCTGTTATGTGGGGTGCCACAGGGTTCGGTGCTCACCCCCCTCTACATGAGGCCACTGGGTGAGCTCATCCGTCGCCATGGGGTGAAGTATCATCAGTATGTTGATGATACCCAATTATACATCTCTGCCCCTGACGAATTAAGCGATGCTGTGAATGTCTTATCCTGGTG